CATCTATATGGCTTTCCTCCATCTCCTTCAGACAAAGGTGGTGTTCTGGGTACACAGAACTTGGAAAAACAGGCTAGGAAGTTTTATGTAAAACAAAACAAAAGGGGTTTTATGTGGGGTTTAAAAAGGATTGTTGGCTTTAAAAGTTTGGTTTTTTTAATAACAAAACTACCAGGGTATGGTACCCCTCCCCATGAGTAGTTCTGTTCCTTGCCTTTATGTCTGTTTAGCAGCTATACATTTCTTTATTGTAAAGCTAAACAATTGCCTTCAAGTGTCCATATTCCATTAAGCATATGAAAAAGTATTCAGCCCGTTGTTTTCTGCAGAATGAATTTATTTGTCACATAAGTATTAATTTAGACTAGTCATGGAACATTAGTGCTTGGTAATTGTCCGCATTTTTCTGGGGTTTGTTTAACTGATGGAGATTATTTCAGAAATGTGCGACTTCTTTAACTGTTACATTCATTGCTGAGTGCCCCTTGCAGAGGCTGCAGACTCACAGCAGTGGCGGGATGTTGTCTCATCTTGGCCACACGAGATTTTAGGATTGCTGATGCATGTCCACTGAGGGAGAGCGGGAAAAATTACCGCAAGGCCCTTTTCATAGCAGCCAGCACTGGTTTTGCCAGTTCCTGGGGTTTTCCCTTCCCAGGAGCCCAGCCCAGTTCCTTAGAGAGGATGCTGCTCCTCTGCAGTGGGACCACAAGGGTTCTTTCTCAGCACTGCATCCAGCAGCAGCATCAAAGACAAGCACTTGCCAGGCTCCAAGGCACACACAGGAGAATGGTGCTCTGCCTCACTGAAAACCGTGGGCTGAGGTTTCTTTGCCTTGGTTTTCAAAGGAAACTGCCAGCTCCTTCTCCCAGACTTTGGGATGAGACTGCAGAGCTTCAGATGTGCTGTCACTCCTTTCAGCAAAACCCAAGAGCCAAGAAAATTAAGCAGATCTCTTTTCCCCAGTGAAGGACTGTTAGAGAGTGACCAGCTCCTGGCAAACCACCAGAAGTCTCCCAGTGTCCCACAGGCAGTGTGTGTCTTGTCTCAGATGCTGGTATCCCTCCTCTTGCTGATTGTGTTCCTGTGCTGTCACATGTTATCGCTGCCCCACAGTTCTGCTCTGTAGGAGGCTAAAGCCAGGTAAATTGTGTCAGGATTTCTGCTCTCCCAGAGATCATCCACTGCACTGCTGAAAGACTTGCTCTGTAAAGCCTTTAGGAGCTTGTATACCCCCAGCATCACCATGAGGCCATGGAGCCCTTAGGTGGCACCAGGTAATGTCTCCCACACCTCAGTGTCTCCCTCTGTTAAAGAGCAGCAAAGGAAAAGCCACTCCTGGGTGGGGGAGGAAATGACTCCAGGCTCACGTGCTTCGTCAGATATGCAAATTGCTCTACAAGTCCTGAGCATTAATTATAGAGCCTAAGCTTCTCGCTGGAGCCGCAGGGAAAACAGGCCCCTGGCTCACATTAAATTTAATGGCGTTTGGACACCCAATTCCCTTAGCCCATTTGAAAACCAGAATCCCACTTTATCCAGATATATATGTGGTCAGGTGAAATCCCTCATCCCACTGCAGACAGCAACATTTTTACAGCATTGCATTCAGTAAAGTCAGGAGCTCTCCCTCACGTAGTGGGGTGTTTTCCTCATGCTGTCTGGGGGATCCAGGAAAGAAGCGGGGAGAGACGTGGATAGCATGGTCTGGACAGGGAGCTCTATGGACAGGCTGAAGAAAGCAGCTCTGGCACCATGGTTTCACTGCGGGCTGGTTCACCAGACCAAGCTGAAGGCTGTCCCACTGCAGGGTCTGGGGCATGGGCAATGAGGAGCCCTGAATGCCCTGGATGTGAGCTGGACATGGGGACAGAGCTGCCTTCCCCCAGCACTGCTTCATCTCTCATCCGCTGCCTCCAAAGAGCAGGATGTGATGGCTCTCCTCTGCAAGGAGCAGACCTGTGAGGATACAGCTGCCTCTCACTGTGTAGTTGTAATGCCAATGCAATGGCTCAGTGTGGGATGAAGTCAGAAATAATGCAAATGGGAAAAAAAGTGGGGAAAAGAAGCAAACCTTTGGGAAGTTAGGAGTAGAGGATGCCCCTGGCTGAGTGAGTTGTTCTTAGTAGGCAGCTCCTGGAAGCTACGTTATTTTGCGACACGCTTCACTGTGGGATGTTGTTTTGCTAGAATTGTAGGTGTATGACAGTGAGAGGTGATCCCTGCCTGGGAGGGCTCACAGGAGCCAGACCTTGATGGGAGTATGGCTGTCCTAGTCCACAGACGGACCAGTGAGCAAGGGCAGAGCCATAAGGAGCTGCCTGTTCTCTAGCCCAGTCTTTGTGCACAGGGCCAACCTCATGTTCAAACACCAGCTGCGTTTCCAGCTGCATGCATTTTGGGGAAATTCTTGATCTTTTTCCCAGTGTTACCTCTTTGTTCAGGGTGGAGTTTTCCTATTCTGAGGGACTCCAGCATTTCTGCCTAATTTAGCACAGAGAAAATGAACAGCAAACCCTTCATATTGTTATATGCATTTTAGATGTCGGCCTCACAGTTTGATCAGCAGAGGCTCCAAAGGCTCGTAAACCTGGTAATACATAGTTCCAGGACTGCATCAAAGAAGTTCACAACCCTTTTGGGAGAAGCTGTGAGTACTGATGAAAGAGGGAACTTATTGTATATGTAAGAAAACTTCTTTCATGGCTTATGTATTAAGGCAGGCTCTGTGGCCCAGGGAAGATTGGGGCTGCTTTTAATTTACATCGCCCCTCACTTATATTAAGTCTTCGTCAGAAGAAAAATTAGTCAGATGTTTTCTTAATGACATCATTTTTTTTAATCCTGTTTCATTTTTTCCAGATGAGGTGGTGGAGATTATTAGAAATGAATTGAAACTAAATCTGGAACAGAGACTTTGATTCACTTCTCCCTCCTCCCCGGTAGAAATAAATTGGTCGGCTCCGTGCTCGGATGCCTTTATTAGCAGCCTCGACAGAAACCAGCCCCAGCGGCCTCAGCTGCAGCTTCCTGAGCCTGCCGCCGCCACGGCTGACGTCATGGCGAGAGGCACCAGAGAGTGACTTTGGTCACCCCATAATTTTGGTAATGGAAGGCCATGGCAACACAGGTGGGGAGGTTATGAGGTCTGAAATAGCCATGCCATCATCAGTTTGTCTTTCAGTGTCATAAAAGAAAACAGGGTCGATGCTTGTGGGTGTTCCTCTGGCAAAACCCCAACCTGGGTCTGGTGAGCCACCTGTTTCGGTGGCTGTGTATCTCCACAGAGCCTTTATGTGTGATGGGTTTTCACTGCCTGGTCTTTCACACCACCGAGCCACAGAGTGTATTGCTACAGAAAAGTACTTTGAACTATAAATATTTCAGAAAGCATTTAATTTACTACCCATCAGCAGAAAGTGTTCAAAAAGCCACAAGGTTTACTAATTTATCAGAAAGACAGAGAAACACACAGAAGATCAAACAAAGACAAACATGCTCGTTAAACTGCTGAATAAGTCTGCAAAGCTTATATTACATTTCTGTGTGGTTTTGTTGATATGCAAGTATTACACATAAATTAAAATGCACCTGAAATGTTGATAAGGCAGGGTGGGACTGAGATCCTGAGGTGCTGGTGGCATGTTGAAACTGCTCAGACCATCGTGTTTGTGGTTGTCTGTGTATGGAGAGACAGATCTTACATGCGCTCACTAATGGCATATTTGGATAGTCTCAGTGAAGGGCCTTTGTAGTACCCTCCCTTAGATCATCCCACATCCCAGATTCCTGACCTCCAAATCCCTGTTGTCTTCTGTGCTCAGGGTGCAGCCTCATGGGGTGCACATCCATCTCCCTCAGCTTTGCTAGAGCACCCAGTCAGGGATGAATGCTGTCCCTGCTGTGACCTGTGTGTCAACACCAGCTCAGCTTCTAGCAGTCTGTGACTGCAGAGAGAGCTAATACAAAGCAGATTTTGCTCTTTTGTTTTGCCCAATGACAGCTCTCCCTCCTTTGGTGTCTAGCTCAGATTTTCTGCTTCTCAGGTCAGGGTGAGTAGCTTTCTCTCCTTTGTACCCTCTGTGGTTTGTCTAAGAGGCTGAAGGGTAGAGTAGGGCATGTGTCTGGGAGAAGTCTGCAGACTTTCTCTTCCATCCTTGTTCACCCTTCAAAAAACTGCTTAAGCACGCAGTGAAACATGCATGTGACTTTTTTTTGTTACCTGTGGAATCCCTCAGCATTTACCGACTTTATTCTCAGGTGGCACTTGGCCTGAGGAAGATCTGAGGGATTTAGGAGAGGCGGCCCCCAGAAAGCATGCAGTAAAACCTCCCATGAACTTTTGCCCTCTGAACCGTACCACCAGCCTGTCAAGGAGGTTTGTGCTGGCCATGATGGACGCAGGAGGTGGGGCTGCTGCCCCGGCACGGGCCAAGCCACGCATGCTGGGCTGAGGAAAGCGCAGCTCAAGATCACATAAGTTCTCCATGCAACATTTCCATCCTTGCACAGACTGCCCTGTCAAAGGGCTTTCTGCACGTGTCAGCACTAAACATTTGGATATCCAAGGGCAGTGAGGAGCTTGCAAAACCTCAGGTTTGCCTCAGATATCATTGTGTGTCCAGACTCCCTGTGCAAGGAGATGGGGTGGGATCTCTAGCACAGCGTGTGTTCCATGCCTCCTCTATGTACAGACACTGCCTAAAGCAGCTTGTGCCCCTTCCCACAGCAGCCCAGTTGGGGTTGCTGCACAATACATATTTAGTGCAAAATACAAATACATATTTGCGCAAATACATATTTAGTGCAATAGTGGTGCATGTCCACAGGAAGCTTGGGAACTTCAGACTCTGCGTATGCCAAGAGGAGCGGATTGTCCCGCTGTGAACTCCTCTCTTGTGGAGGTAGCGGTGGTGAGGCAGGACAGAGAAGGGTGACAAGCGGTTGTGCCTGCTCTGGGTGGCTGTGAGTGACGGTGTGTCTCTTGTTTTCCTTCCCAGGCCTCCTCCTCTGAGTGGCAGCCCCGTCATCTCCGACATCTCCCTCATCCGCCTGTCTCCGCACCCTGCTGGGCCTGGCGAGTCGCCCTTCAGCCCGCCACACCCCTACGTGGCACCCCACATGGAGCACTACCTCCGCTCTGTGCACAGCAGCCCCACGCTCTCCGTCATCTCTGCTGCCAGGGGCCTCAGTCCCGCCGACGGTAAGACACTGTGCTACTGGAACTGCAGCAATTTTGTAGCTCACCAGGACTGAAATTCCCTAAAACCCGGGGATTTACAGCTGCAAAGACTCCGCAGCTGCTCTCTGAAGTGGGAGAGCTGTCTCCTTTTCTTTTTGTTGGGTTTTTTTTTTCCCCTTTAACTACACATTTGTTTTGCATCATCGCACTGAGAAAGCAGAGCGTGAGAATAGCTATTGCTGCTGGATCATATTATAAATATTTTGCTTTAAGTATGTTCCTTTCTGCAGTGCTCTTTTAGGAGCTTCCCTGTTCTTATGTCTGTACTGGGACCCAGCTTTCCCTAGAGAGGGTCACAGTTGTTCTGGCTGCCTGGCCTGGCTGAGACTGATGTTGGAGAGGAGGCAATGCCAGCTAGGTTATCCCCTTTTTGCCTTTGTGTCTGCGTCAGCGTCACTCCTGAGTGAAGGCAAGGGGCCATCATTTCTTCCTCCTTACTCCTGAGCTGCCCTGCAGCAGCCTTCAGGGAAGGCGAGGATGTGTGGGAAGTTGGGTGCTGGGTGCTCTGAGCCCTATCAGACCCCATGTTGGGTAGCTGGGGAAGAAGCCATCCAACAGGGAAAGGGGAAAATGCACAATAGTGCTTCCACCTGGCAAGGTGTAAGTCATGCCTTACTTTGTCAGAAGAGTTGCGGGTGGCTGGCTCAGTGCCCTGGGAATATCTGGGGTCCTGGTCTCTGCATGTCCAGCAAACCCCAACATCCCTCGGCTCCCAGGCTGCTGCAGGGGCCAGCAGCCCTTCAACACTGCGAAGTGCACCAGAGAGCAACAAGGCCCCTGGATTAGTGTCTGGCAGCATAAAACTATCTTGTATGGCTTAAACAACATAACTAGAGTGATGGGGACATGCATATGTCTTCTTCCCTCCCCCTGAAACGTCATCCAAACTCTCAGGCACCCGCCAGAGAGAGGCCTGATGGCTTGTGTGTGTGTGTGTGTGTGTGTGTTCTGCCCTGTCCTCTCCTTCCAAAACCAGTTTCATTGTTTGCTGTGGAAGAAAGGCATTGTGTTTTGGGTTGCTTTTCTTTTCCTCCTTTTTTTTCCTTTTTTTTTTTTCCCCCCTTGTTTAAGGTGGTGGTAAATAAGTTAATGGGGCAAGCGGGTGGGGAGGCAGGTTTGAAAAATTACAGCTGGGAGAAAGTGAGTGTAATTGGCTTTGGCAGCCAAAATGGTTTTATGCTGCCAGACACTAAACCTAGCTCTATGCATTAGACCTTGGCTTTAATTTCCTCACGCTGCTATCGGGAACTGGGCTGCATTTGTCTTTCCTTCCTAATAGGCAGGGATGTTAATGCTGACAGGGTTACTGCTGTCGGCAGCCTGGGCCCTTTCCCCCCCTCCCAGGGGTGCTGGCTGCGTCCGAACGGGAGGATTATTAGAAGGGGGAACGAGAGATTGTTTATAAATTTGCGGAAATGGAGGAATGCAGAGGCCCCAGCCTGGTCTCCTTTGTCCACAGAAGCACGCCCAAGCGCGCGTCACGCGCGCCCTACACGGAGCCGTGCGGCTGGGGCTGGCGGGGGGCGTGGGGGGAGAGACGGGGCCTCCAACGTCAGCTCTGAGGTCTAACACTGCACTGGGAACCTTCTCCCCATGTTTCTTTCCTCGCCTGCGGCTCCAACAGTGGCTCATGAGCACCTGAAGGAACGAGGCCTCTTCGGGCTGCCCCCGCCACCACCGGGGGCCAACCCTGCTGACTACTACCACCAAATGACGCTGATGGCCGGCCACCCAAACCCCTATGGAGACCTCCTCATGCAGGGCGGGGGAGCAGCCAGCACAGCCCACCTCCACGATTACCTCAGCCCCGTTGATGGTGAGTAGCAGCTTGGATTCTTCCTGGCACAGCTGAAATTTTGGGGTAGATGGATGGGACTGCCCTCCAGGTGGAAGTTGTTGTATGTGGTCACTCTGCCCTGCTGGAACCTTTGGGTGCTGCACTTCAATTTTTGGCTTAAAAGGTCACTTCCTTCCATAGAAATATATAAAATATATATAACTTAAAATATGTACATCTTGGTCTCTTAGAGATGATGGCATGGCTGAAGTATGGGTAGGAGATGGGCTGGTCCAGCGAGCTGGGCATTACTGCTGTCCTGCTGCATTGACCATGGGTGACCAAAGTGTGTCTGGGGACCAGCTTTATCTCTAGCTCCCCATCCCACCCCATGTTTTCCCTGCTTGGTGTCTGGGGTGAAGGCTGTGTCCATACAAAGCTGTGCTAGGCACAGTGGACTTCTCATCTTGGCTGGGACCTCTCAGGTCCACAAGGAGAGACAATATCTGAATGGGGAGACACAGTGGAAAGAATATAGTAGTACTTTGTGCAAGGAAATAAAGCAGCAATGTGGTATTTGTGATAGTACTGGGTGTTATAAACCCAGAAAGCTCTCGTTTCTAGCTAAATGAAGAAGAAATAGAATCATGTTAGGCACTGCGGTGCTGAGTCATCCCTGTGGCCTGACTGCTGCCCTGGGAAGAATCTACCTGGAAGCATATATGAAGTCCAAATGATTTTTAGAGCTCTTAGAAATGTCTTTCACTTCATGCTACATCTTGCAAGAGCTGGGGTTGTACAGATACTACAGAGGGCAGTTTGGGGATTGTTTCTGCTGCAAAAGGGAGAAGTCTCTGTTCAACTTTCAGATTCAGCATCTGTTTCCTGGGATGTCTTTGGATTTGCCTGTGGACCATTGTAATTTTTGGAGTGGAGATCTGCATCGTTTCATTATCGCTTCAAAGTTTCTGTTGTTGAGCTTTTAAGATTAAAGACTTTATGGTCTTGCTTCATAAAGTGACTGGTTTAAAATTATAGAAGCTGTTCTGACTGTTCACTGATGGAAGTTTACAGATACTTCTAATGGAAAAACAGTTTCTCATCTGTGGCTGCTGTGGAAGTTTTACCTGAACACTCATTTTGTGCTGCCAAGTCCTAGATTAATTTGGAACCTGGATCCCAGTCTGAGAGAGAGCACAAGCTCCTTGGTACCATCCCGCACTCTAACAACCAAAATATATCCCAGGCTTCTCTGCTACAAAGCAGCTGGTCAGTAAGACTGCTCTGTCTTCTCTCCCAAGGGTTAATGCCTGTGGTTATAGCAGATGGGCGCAAACGAGTCCTTCCAAGTTCTCCTCGGGCTCATGAATAAGACTCCTTCCTCCTTGCCTCCTTATTAGTCCATCTCTGACCAGCATTGCCTCACTGAAGTGCCAGATAAACAACCAGTGAGGGAAGCAAACAACTGTTCTCATGGTGGTATGGGCTGACTCCCAGCACACCAAAACGCTCATCCCCTGGTTTGCTGAAGATCAATCTTTATCCGAGATACTGAGATACTCCCCTTGGCAGAAGACTCTCAGACTGTTTGCCTTCTCCTGAAAACAGCTCTACAGAGAATCATGTATCACAGGTCTCAGTTTTACACAGCCAAGCTCGTAACCACGATTCACTGCAGAGCCAGGGTTCACCAAGCATTTATTATGATCTTTTGGAAAAGCTTTGTTGGTGATTAACTGGAAAGCCTTTTCTGGGCCTTCACGTGTTCCGCATGAGATGGAAACTTTCAAACATTACGAGAATGTGACATGAGACACTACTTTTTAAGAATGCATAAAGGAGCACCAGTCCCGTACCAGTCTCTGGTCCACGTGCCTGGGTTTATCCATCACCCAAGAAAAGAGAGAATTGCACTTTATTAAGGGAAAGAGTGAAATGGATGGCTCTGAAATGCTGGATGAGGAGACAGTGTCTCATTCTCTTTTTAGAAAGTTATTTCAAAAATTTAAATCAGCAGGGCCTAAGTAAATAGTTGAACAGATAATTTAATAAAGCATCCTCTTATGGTGTTTTTCTGAGACAAGAATATCAGTAGCACGCATAAACCCTCAGTGAGTCACCACCTCACTGCATCTGTCAGAGAGACCTCTTCTTCCCAGGGAGCCCGGGAACATAGAAACTTTACGAGAATCAGTTTGCTGAAAATGCAGGTAGCTCTTGTTAAACCACATGCAGCGCCATCATTCATCTGTGATAACACTGGCACTTGCAAAAGGAAGAGCAGGAGATAAGCATATATTAAATCTGGCCTATTCAGTGTCACATCACTTCCAAACATCCGCAGGTTGGGCCACGGGAGCTGTGGACACTGAGTATGGGGTAGTTCTTCCACAGAGACATACCTGCGCCTTTCTAGTTCCTGTAATTGCATTTCCTGGAGAATTTCTCAGTGCCTTCATGTTTTTTTGTCAGTGTTTTTCACTTCATCACATGTCTAAGGTCAGGAAAAGTAACAGGATATAAATGTTGGCTGGAGCTTGTTGGTGCCAGCACTGTTTCAGGTCTGCTGAGTGTTCACATGGTGACTGAACTGGGCTGCCCAGAGCTGCACCTCTGCTGGGTTTTCAGTGTGTAGCTAGAAGTAGTTAAAGCACTAAAGTAGACCAGATTTAAGTTTTATGTACCAGACTGCTGTGGTGTTCAGGCCAGTTCCAGTGGAGACTAAATAGCCCTTCAGTTAGTTCTCCTGTTCCATTTCCTCATCCAAACAGGGACTCAAAATCCAAGAGTGGAATTTGAATCCAGGCTTAATCTCATTTTATGAAAAGTCTATACTTTCAAATCAAAAGTTAATCACTTTCCAATATCACAACATTGCTGATGGGGTATGTTTAAGACTATCTACAGGTTCTATTCACCAGATCAAAGCAATCTTTTGCATTTCTTTTTTAGTAGTGCTACATGGTGGGCTATTCCAGGTGACAGAGTGGTTGTGCAGGAGCATCCCTGGGGCAGGAAAGACTGGTGGGGAGCACAGTGACCCTGGAGAAGGCTACCACTTTCCAGCTGCTTTTCCTTTAGGCACAGGGCTTCCTGTGATTGCACTCAGCCCTTCAGGACGAGCCATTTTCTCTCAAGAGGAGTCCAGCCACACCGTCTCAATGCTGCTGCTGCTGTTATAGTCCTGTATATCCAGCAGATATACACCAGCAGATCTCAAAGTGCTGTAAAAAGCAAAGCTATTTCATCACAGGAGACCACAAAGAAAAGGGAGATCAGTGAGTGGAGTAGTGGCAGCTTCAGGAACAAGATCCAGGTCTTTAGAATAAGATTCTTATGGCCAGGGTGGAAATCAGAGATCATCTTTAAATCCATCACTTTGCAGAGCTTTGAGAGTGTGATTGGGTTGTGCATGCTCAGTATGGGAATAGGAAAAAACCATCTTGAGTGCAAATTAGGTCCAAGGTAGTCCCTCATGTCAGGAAGGCTATACAGATGTGTTTGTGCAACAGTTACAATAGCAGGGATGATCCTACAGTGCTGTCATTGCATTTTGTCCAGTTCTGAAGCAAGAGGGAGATCCCTGCCCTGTTTTTTGCTGCCTGGTGCCAGATAGTCACAAATGTCTTGATTCACAATCAGCAGTTTAAGTGGGAAAAGGCTTTGTTCAGCCCAGCATAGCCAGCAGGCCAGCAGCTGGCATAGTTGCCTGGGATGTGGGCAAATCATTAAGTAGGACTTTTATTTCTCCAAATCAAACAGTGATTCAGCTTCACCAGCCTCTTTCAGTGTTGTTGGAGCCTTTCTCCTTGAAGGAAATGTTTTAATAGCCAGCAGGGTAAGGAGCAGGGCTGGCAGCGCAGCCGGGTGGTGACTGCAGTCGGCAGGCACGTGGCCACGAGAGGTGAGCTCAGGACTCTCTCCAGCAGGTTCACATGGAGCAACTGCCCCATCAGGATAAAAGCAGAGAGCCAAGCCTCATGGTGACCTAGGAAGGAAGTGCTTCCCCTGGGGCTGGAGGGACAGCAGCCCTGGGTTTGCAGGCTGGGTGTGCTGGATCACAGATGACTTCCCAAGCTAGCTAGCTGTTGGCTACCCTGGGCAGATGGTGCACCCTGTAGTCGCTTCCTTAAAAACTCTCAAAGACCTATTTTTGTTGTTGTTTTCTTTGTCCCAGCATAGAATGGAAACTTGCTGAAATCTCAGAAAAGGTTCAGAGAATGGGAAACAATTTCCCACCCATTTCTAGCCAGCAGTGCTGTTTTCTTCCCCAGAAAAATATGTGCAGAAGAGAGAAGTCCCAGAGCACCCCATAAGTGCTGTGTCTGGAATCCTGCTGCACTCTGGTTTCTAAAGAATTCAATTTACATATGCAAGTTGGGTCGACTAAACAGTTACCTTGTGGATTGGGAGTAAAAGAATGCAGCCTTGTCTTTCAGCAAGGATTTGAGGAAAGCATTAGTATTCCTTGAACTGCAAAGTTGATCAGCCAGGGGAGAGAAGAAAGAAGGGTCCCAGGACAGTGTCTGGTGCCAGAACAAATGTCCAGCATCTGTTGCAATCTAAAAAAGAGGTGTGTTGCCTCTGCAGAAGGAGAGAGGGGAATAAGGAATTGGTTACACAAAGAGTGTTTGTAGTTTATTGCTGCTTATCGATTATGGGACTATCCTGTGTTTTTACAGGGCCTTTGGTTTTAATTTGATGATGGGAGTAGGGGGGTATTTCTGTACACTTTGGATGGAGTTTCTTTGGTGAATGGGGAGGAAGAGGGACCATTTTGATAGCGCTGTATTTTTCCTGGGGTTTGGCCAGGGGATGCAGGGGAAGCAGTGGCTCTGGCTGAGTTTCAGTGAGGCAGGAGGGGGGCAGGCAGGGTGTGAGCCATCTGCAGCCCATGTGCCTTGCATGCTCGTCTGTTAGGGTGCAGATTCCTCTGATGATCCTGTGCTGTTGAGATCACAGCAACGTTTGTCTGTAAAGAGTTGCCTGAGATTTCCTTACCCTGAAGGACCCTTGAAGGAGCTCTTACTGAGTGCCTC